GTCACTTTTCTCTGTGCCAATATATTGTTTCTGTTTTTGTTGTTGTTTGGGCCAGTACTGAGACCTGAACTCAAGGCTGGGGCACTGTCCCTTAGCTTTTTTCTTCAAGGCTGGCTCTCTACCATTTTAACCACAGATCCACTTCCTGCTCTGTGGTGGTGAATTGTAGATCAGAGTCTCATGGACTTTCCTGCCCAGACTAGCTATGAATTGCATCCTCAGATCTCAGCCTCTTAAGTAGCTAGGATAACAGGTGTGAGCCAGGGACACCTCACTATGTTCTATTGCTTTTTCTTTCTTTTTTTTTTTAACTGAGCTTTTGAGAGCAGGGGTGGACCACTGCAAAATAAGGGAGTATGTGGTAAGTGACTGAATGTAAAATAATGGGCTGAGTTCTTATATGCTCAAGGGGAAAGCCAGCATCAGATCCTACAATTAGAGAATCTATTAGGCTATCTTCTGTCCGTGGCCCCTAAGAGGTGCATTCCTTAGCACTTCCCATCAATTGTTTTAATCACATTAACTTCTTTGCAGAGTTTTGTTTCTCTTCATTGGGGTCCGGGTTCCCACGGCCGTGGAAGGGCCATGAGAGTATAGGGATAAAGGAACGCTGATGATGAGCTAGTACAGCTTAGATTCTTACTCTCCGGAAAATTGTTCCATGAATCTGCCTCCCTTTTTATAATCATAATATTTACCTCGCTTGCTTTATATAAGAAATGCTAAATGATACCTACTTATGATTGAGGGTCAGCTATCTTGAATTTCGCATGTATAATGAGTACGTTTATGGAACAGCTTCTTGTTTTATTTTAATTTTATTCTGGCAATCCTAAGACCTGAGCTCAGGCCCTTGTGTTCTGCTCTTGCAGCATGGATCCGGTCTTCTTGCTATTACATCATTTCTCAGGTAGAGTCTCCAGCTTTTTCCCAAGCTAGCCTCACAGCTGTGATTCCTTTGTCTCAGCCTACAGAGTAGCTGGGACTACAGGCATGAACCACAATCAGCCCTTTTATTTTGCTTTACATATAATGTTCTTATGCATATCATTTCATGTACATGGCTTTTACTTGGTGAAGTAAGTGGTATTTGCCCCACTTAATAACTGAGTAAAATGAAGTTTAGCTTAAGAAGCAGATCAGACTCACATTAATAAGTGGTGAAGCCAAGAGTTGAATCTATGTACATCTGACTTCCTCTGAATTCAGAAGGTAAGGTTTTACACACTATACATCATGGCCTTTCCCATAGCCATCTATCTTCATTAGACAGTGCTGGGCTATCTGTTTTATGACATAAATCCCCACATATTGGAAGAAAATCTTGTCTAACAACCAATGTCATTACCACCTACCCTCACTAGCGGAAAAAAACATGAGATGAATTTCATGAAATAGGTCTGTATTTATTTTTATTTATTTTATTTCTTGTGGTAGTACACATGTTTGGACTTAGAACCTTGTGCTTGCTCAGCCTGCTTGCTTAGTGAGTGCTCTACCTCTTGAGCCATGACTTTTTGTTGGTTGCTTTAGAGATGGAGTCTCATGGGCTTTTCTGCTCAGGCTAGCTTCATGATCCTCTGGATCTCAGCCACTTACGTGGCTAGCTAGGTTTACAAGTGTCAGCTATTAGCAACAAACCATTTTTCATTTTCTTTTTGGCATGTGCCACTTATCACTTCTATATATTGGAATGGCTTGGCAGAAGACTGTTTCATGTTTGTTTTTCTTTTAGAGTAAGGTACCCTAAAAATAAAAGGCTAAGAGTACGGGCTGGGAAGGTGGTCAATGGTAGAGCGCTTGCCTTGCATGCATGAGGCCCTGGGTTCGATTCCTCAGCACCACGTAAGCAAAAAGATAAAAGCCGGAAGTGGCGCTGTGGCTCAAGTGGTAGAGCACTAGCCTTGAGCTGAAGAGCTGAGGGACAGCACCCAGGCCCAGAGTCCAGGCCCCATGACCAGACTCCCTCCCCCCCCCCAAAAAAAGCTAAGAGTGTATATATTTAAAATAATTCATATTCTGTCCTGTTGTTAACTATGAGTCTTGGTGGGTGGGGTCCTGGGTCTTATACATGTTAAGCAAGCACTCTACCATCAAGTTAAATATGCTCCCAACCCAACTGCGAACCTTTATTTGAAGATGATAAAAGGTAGTCCTTAAATGTGTGAAGAAATGGGAGGAGATGAAGATAGTCATAGCTTGAGTCAGAAATTCTCTTCAATTTGACAAGATCCAACACCCCTTTATGATGAAGGTTTTGGAAAAATTAGGAATCCATGGAACATTCCTCAATACAATAAAGGCTGTATATGACAAACCTACAGCCAGCATTATACTCAATGGTGAAAAACTAAAGCCATTTCCTCTTAACTCAGGAACAAGACAAGGATGCCCACTCTCTCCACTTCTCTTCAATCTAGTATTAGAATGCCTAGCTACAGCAATAAGACAAGATGAAAACATAAAGGAGATCCAAATAGGGAAAGAAGAAATAAAACTCTCCCTCTTTGCAGATGACATGATCTTGTATTTAAAGAATCCCATAGACTCCACTCCCAAATTACTCAAGCTGATTCAAAACTTTGGCAAAGTAGCAGGTTATAAAATTAACCCCCAAAAATCAATGGCTTTTCTGTATGCCAACAATGAGAAAAGTGTGGCTGAAATTAGGAAAGCAACTCCATTTGTAATAGCCCCACAAAAAATAAAATACCTAGGAATTAACTTAAGAAGTGAAGGACCTCTATGATGAAAACTTTAAAAACCTGAAAAAGGAAATCAAAACAGAACTTAGAAAATGGCAAAATCTCCCATGCTCCTGGATTGGAAAGATTAACATTGTGAAAATGGCAATATTTCCCAAGGCTATCTACAAATTCAACGCAATACCTATCAAAATTCCACCCTCTTTCTTCAAGGAAATAGAAGAGGCAATCCAAAAATTCATATGGAACAATAAAAGACCCCAAATAGCAAAAACGCTCCTCAACGGAAAGAACACTGCTGGAGGAATATCAATACCAAATTTCAAACTCTACTATAAAGCCATAGTAATCAAAACAGCTTGGTATTGGCATAAGAACAGACCTCAGGACCAATGGAATAGAATTGAAAACCCAGAAATGAACCTACAGACCTATAGCCATCTAATCTTCGATAAGGGAGCTAAAACAATAGAATGGAAGAAAGACAGCCTCTTCAGTAAATGGTGCTGGCAAAATTGGTTAACTACATGTAGAAAACTAAAGCTAGATCCTTATATATCACCCTGCACCAGAATCAACTCCAAATGGATCAAAAACCTTGAACTCAAAGCAGACACTCTGAAAACATTACAGGATGGAATAGGAGAAACCCTAGGTCTCCTTGGCTCCGGCCAAAATTTTCTGAATAGAGACCCGGAAACACAACAAATCAAAGAAAGGTTGGACAAATGGGATTGCATAAAGTTGCAGAGCTTCTGCAGGGCAAATGACATAGCTAGCAAGATCAATAGAAAGCCCACGATTGGGAGAAGATCTTTACTAGCCATACAATGGACAAGGGTCTCATATCTAAAATATACTTGGAACTCAAAAAATTAAACCCCCCAACAACAAATCCTCAAAGAAACAACTGCCCAATAAATAAGTGGGCGAAAGACTTAAAGAGAAACTTCTCTGAAGAAGAAAGAAGGATGGCCAATAGACACATGAAGAAATGTTCAACATCCCTAGCCATAAAAGAAATGCAAATCAAAACAACATTGAGATATCACCTCACTCCAGTTAGAACGGCAAAAATCAAGAACTCTAACAACAACAGATGCTGGAGGGGATGTGGACAGAAAGGAACCTTACTTCATTGTTGGTGGGAATGTAAACTTGTTCAACCATTTTGGAAAGCAGTATGGAGGTTCCTCAAAAGACTTCACATAGAACTCCCCTATGACCCAGCAATCCCACTTTTGGGCATTTACCCAAATGTTTACAAACAAGACCACACTAAAGCTACCAGCACAACTATGTTTATTGCAGCATTATTTACCATAGCTAAGATATGGAACCAACCCAGATGCCCCTCAGTAGATGAATGGATCAAGAAAATGTGGTATATATACACAATGGAATTCTATGCCTCCATCAGAAAGAATGACATTTCCCCATTTGTTAGGAAATGGAAAGGCTTGGAAAAAATTATATTAAGTGAAGTAAGCCAGGCCCAAAGAAACATAGGTCCCATGGTTTCCCTTATTTGCAATATCTAGTATAGGTATGAGTATAGTATAGTATAGGTATGAGTCAAGCGGGAAAGGTCAGATAATGTGATGTTAGGAAAACGAACCCTTAAATATGTATTTAAATGTTTTTTTTTCATGCATGTGTTTCTAACACATTTATAAGATTATTTCTTTGTTGCTTTGTATGTCCCTCCCCCACAGTGTAACCCCCGCTTTCACTATATTTGATGTCAGTATAACTTGTGGAGGAGATGGGGACAAACAAGTCGTTTAAGGATTCAGGTGGACCTGTTGCAACAATGAGAAGTACAAAATGTCATGTCAAAAATGAGCTTTACAATGTCGGTGTGTGGGGGGAGAGGGGGGAAGGATTGGGTGGGGGGGAGGGGGGAGGCTGGGAAGGGAGGTGAAGGGTAAACAAAGGAGGAGGCTGCAATGCTTGGTAAGAAATGTATGCATTATCCTGCCCATGTAATTGTAACCCCTCTGTACAGTATGTTCTCAAATAAAATAAAATTAAAAAAAAAAAAAAGAAATTCTCTTCATTTGCCATGCACTTGGGGGATAAAGGGGAAGGAAATCAATAGTGGATGCTGTTCTATCATTGATAGTTTATCCCTACTCACATGTAACTGGAGAATAATAATAATGAAGTCATAGTAAATATATAGAGATGTATATGTATATATATACATGTATATGTATATACATGTATATATATATATATGTGTGTGTGTATATATATATATATATATCTCCTTTTTGTTTTTCCTGGTCACAGAGGCAGGGACCTGTCAATACCTTTGAAGATCCTCGAATGACCTATACTTTCCAGATGAATTATCACCACCAGCAAAGACTTTACTACCCATTCTGGGATGAGATGGCTACCCAGGAAGTTCCCACGGGTCTCGAACACTGCGGCTCAGGTAGGAACATCAACAGGAGCTGGGAACGAGGATAGAGTTGAAAGACAAGGGAAACTGGTGAGGCACGCGTGCATTCTCTGAAGTTACAGCTGCCATGGCTTGCGTGGGTATGGACTATTGTTCTAATGGAAAGCCCCTGCCTCTGCATCATTTTGCTTTATTTTATTTTGTTCAACAGGAAGACACGAATCTAAGAATGGGTCCCAAAGAGGTCACTTTAGCTCTCTGTTTTGTAAATAGTGTTGTCTTCTATGTATTTCCTGACACCCGTTTCTATGACACCATGTCGGGCCTATTGACAAAGGGCCTACAGGTTCTGCTACCATAAAGAATGGATTGGAAAAACACAGGTGTGTGGGTTTGTGGACCATCGTTTCTCATCTTTTCCACTGTTCTCTGCCTTTGCCCACCTGCGCTTGGCTGCCTCTTCCTCAGTCCGTCTCTCCAGTCCTTCCTTCTTGTCTCCATGCCAGCTCCTCCCATTCTCCTTCCAGCTCCTCCTTTCATTTCCTCTTCTTCCTGGGCTGCTGGTTGGCAGTGCTGCCCTCTGGTGAGCAGGAATCAGATTCCCGCAGAGCTTTCTAGAATGACCAGAACTATTTTCTCCAGAGCCTGATCAGTGCAAAGTTCTTTCCTCCCTTCTGTCTTCAGGACCTATTTGGTTTCTCACAGATTCTATTCTTCCTTTGTTTGCTTTCTAGCCTCTCCCTTTTTATTTCCAAAACAAAAACACAAACTGTAAAATGTGATGAGTTCAGAATCATGAATCAGATATTCAGATTAGGTTTCCTGGAACCCACGGTCTGATGTATATCCTAATACCAAAACCAGTCCGAATTTGATTTTCACCAGGATGAGTTCCAAACATCTCACTGTCCCTACTCTTGTGAAAACAATATAATTTTGAGGAATTACCTGGGTGAAGCTATGGAGTAAGGTGAGCCTCTGCAAGCTAACTTAAATGCAATTTATTTGTTTATTTTTAGTTCAATATCAACTTTTATAACAGTAAAGAAATAAAAAAAATGTTGGCTTTAATGACCATGTCATCAGAAATAGACATAGCACATGGTAAGCTGGGACAACACTTAATAGGGCCTGCCCAGCGCAGTCAAAGAAGCCAGAGGGGCTACTTTCCAATGGCCTGTTTCTTCTCTAGGAAAGAGTGAATTCAGTCTCTGTGTCCCATATTCTCCTCACTTACTAGCCATTGATTTTTCAGGGATTCTTTGATAGTACCCTGGATTTCAGACATAATAACATTTATGCAATCATATTCTGTTTTGTATCTTTGATCCTTCATCCTCAAACACAAATGCCCTCACTATGTATCTACTTCATGAGGAGGTTGAGAATATTTTATATACCTATTCAACTTAAGGACTTAAAATATGAAGATGTGAATAACAGTGACCTTTAAAAATTCTAAACCAAAATGGATAATATTTGTGTAGGCAGAAGATCAAAAAGGTTGTATCCTTATTTGTATGATTATTGAACACAAGAACACAAGGCTTAAATTTTGTATCTCTCAGAGCAACTGAGGTTAAAGTTACCCAAAAAACTTCCAGCTCTCATTATACATCTTCTTGCTACAATTTATACCTTATTAGTAACTAAGACTGTCTCTGAACTTGACTAAGGCCTCAAAATGAGACTCTTCTTCCTCCTCCTCCTCTTCTTCTTCTTCTTCTTCTTCCTCTTTTTTTTTAAATTTTGCCACCATGGGGCTTGAACTCTGGGCTTGGGTGCTGTCCCTGTGCTCTTCAGCTCAAGGCGAGCACTCTATCCCTTGAGCCACAGCGCCACTTCTGGTTTTCTACTGGTTTATTGGAGATAAGAGTCTCAGAGACTTTCCTGCCCGGACTGGCTTTGAACCACCATGCTCAGATCTCAGCCTCCTCAGTAGCTAGGATTACAGGCATGAGCCACTGGCACCCAGTCAAGACTGTCTCTTCTTTACAGCAAATAAAAATGGTCTTCTATTGTTGTATGTGTATGTGTGTGTGTAGGAGACTTGAACTTGGGGCCTAGGCACTGCCCCTTACTTTTTTTATCTCAAATCCAACACTCTATCATTTTAACTACAGCTCTACTTCTGTCTTTTTGGTGGTTAATTGTAGATAAGAGTCTCATGGACTTTCCTGCCTGGGGCTGGCTTCAAGCCTCCATCCTTAGATCTCAGCTCAGCCTTTTGAGTAGCTAGGGTTGCAGACATGAGTTATCAATGCCCAACATGGTCCTCTACCTCAAATAAGAAGTAGGTAAACTTCTTAGATGATTTGTTAATTCTCTTCCTTATCAAAGTTCCCAAAGGTAAAAAAACTGTATTTTTATTTCAGTATTAATGAGAAAGTGTCTATGAAGCACATGAAGGTCTCATAAATGTAGACTGCTTTAAAATGCGGAGACTTACAGGCAGCATAAAGTAGTCTTCTTTCCATAGTCCACTTTATTGTTTCGAGATGAAAGCTGGAGTCACCCAGCCTGTGGCTTTGGGGTCACATGGGAAGGCTGGGTGACTTGGGTGCCCCCTTTGTGGCTCTGAAAATGGTAGGCCTTGGCCACTCTAGGTGGGGCTTTGGCTCCTGACCAGTTAATGGCAATCTCTTTGCAGATATAGGCTCTAACTCTCACTTCGCCAGGCTTCCTCAGATGGGAATATCTTGCAAGCACCTTAAGTCATTCTAGCCTCTTTGCTTTGTGAACTGTCCAGATGAAGGAGTCCTAGGGATCCTTTCTGGGCTGTGGTCCAGTTTGTTTAGGTGATGGTTGGAAGGTGATAGTGGGGTCATTAGAAAGGTAGGTGAAAACATGGAACAATGATTTCTCCAGCTGTGGCATATTTCCTAGGAGCTGTGTTGAATAAAAGGGAAAGAGAGAAAAAATACTCCACTTATTTTTTTTTCTCCCCAATCTTCTTTTATCCTATTTATAACTTCAGTTTCCTTCCCGTCCTCCATCTCACGGCTACTTCCCACCCTCCTCCTTCATATTTGTGCTCTCAAAAGGGATGAATGAACAGCGTTTCCAAGGATTTTTGCATCTGTCGGAGACTGGAAAACTGACAGGAGGGGCTGTGGGGGAGTGGTCAACCCCCCCTTACAGCAGCCTTCATTGGAATGTTGTAACTACCCGCTAATAGGCAGAGGCTGAGGCAGAGGCTGAAGAGAGGAAGAGAGGAGGAAAGCACAAAGATACAAGTTGGGGAAATAGCCTTGACAGGTGATAGGAAAGATGGAGTAATCCAGAAGAGTCAGGAGCCACCTGTATAGAATAGATGGTAAATGGGATACAGGTGCCGTGGGTGGAGATGGGCCAGAGATCAAGATGAATATGGCTAAGAGAGGTAGATCATAATGGGGTAAGATTATGAATGGTGGATGGGAAGCGGAGAAAAAGTGGGGAGCCCAGAAAAAAAAGACAAGGCAAGAAGGTGGGGGAGGGGGATGACATGAAAGAAAAAAATAGATGATTCTGAGAGCATTAACTATACAAGCTAAAATGGGAAGGCACATTTGCATGCAATTGCCTGTGCAGCTGTACATTTCTTCACGACAATCTTGTAGTCATCATTTTCTTTCATTTTTACCTCCTCCTCCTCCCTCTGCCATGGCCCCCTCCTCCCCATCAGCCTGGAGCCATTGTGTGAGCCAATGGGGGCTGCGGGCTGGTATTCTGAATGAATGAATAGACCCTTTCTGTCTGGGCTTCTCGTCATCCTTCTGTCAGGGAACTTTGTGAATCAATGAGCCCCTTACACGAGGCAGGGTTGAAATGTCTGTTACTGTTTATAGTCTGACTGGAGTGGCTCCCACTGACCCTGCCTGCTCTGCTCCCTTCCTCTGTTCCACCCTTCAGCGTCAGCCCTCTCTCCTCCTCCTCATAGCCAAAATCACTTTGTGTGACCGGCTTTTGCTACCTGTCTCAAAGAGATCATTAGTGATGTTTCTTTTTTTTTTTTCTTTTTCTTTATCTATATTTGTATGCTGGTCCTGGGATTTGAACTTGGGGACTAGGTGTTATTCCTTGGCTTTTTGGTTCAAGGCTGGTGCTCTATCTATCACTTGAGCCACAGTTCTTTGGGGGAGTAGTTGGAAGACAAGAATCTCAATGACTTTTACTGCTCTGGATAGCTTCGAACCTCAATCCTCAGATCTCAGCCTTCTGAGCAGCTAGGATCACAGGTATGAGCTATGGGCACCTTAGTTCGAATTCACTAGCATTTTGCTACCACTGTTATGACTACTTCTTATGCATGGCCTTATTGAGAAGCGACAGATAGATGGAGGCCATTCTCTGATGGAAAACAGGAAACCTTAGAGTAGAACCTAGACCTACCTATCCACTATCATTCCAGAAATACTGTTATCAACCACCCCCCGCAGCACCCAGACCATAAGTTCTCAGTCCATATTTTATTTCAGCCTCTCAATTAGGGTGATTATGAATTGCCTACCATGTATGTCAGAAAAACAATGTTTACCTGGTACCTTCCAAATTGAAAGAATTGTTCAGGTTTTTTTAATTCAGGAATGATTGTGCAAATGCAATATGAAGTTCATCTGGAATTAACCAAACCCAGGGTGTCACCATCAGAGCACACTTTTGTGAAATACTTGTTTAGAGTTCAGAAGTAAATATGAAGCTGTAGAACAAAGTAAATCCAACTCACTTTGTTTGAGAAACAAGACAATGCTTTTTCTTATCCTTCTTATGAAATGCAATTTGTCTTTTGGTTGCTTAGCACAGCAAACCTCCATCTACCTATTGCATAAAATACCTGCCATTTCCTGTTCTTCTTGAGAAAGTATGTGTACATGGTACATCAGTAAAGAACCCAGATTCTAGCCAAGTGGAGTTAGGCATGCTTGTAATCTTAGCCACTGAGAATATAGGGCTGTGGTAAGAGACTCATAGTCCAATGCTTGTCCAGGAAAACACACGCAACTCTACTGAAAACTAAATATGAGTGTGGCTCAAGTGGCAGAGTGCAAGCATAAGGCCCTGAGTTCAAACCCTAACACCACTAAAGACAAACAACAACAAAAAAAAGAAGACAGAAAAAGTAAAACAAATCCAGACCATGTAGTCAGATTGTTGGCTTTGCAAGTTCTTCCTGACCGTGTGACTCTAGGTGACTTGGTTTTCCTCCTATAAAGTGTGCTTCCCAGACCACTAGAAACAATACTATCTGAGAACTTGGTAGAAGTTCAGACTCTTAACCCCAAACCCACACTGGTCCAACCAGGAACTCCTGAAGTGCAAGATCTCCTGGAGGGCTTTAACACAGCCTTGCTCTAAAGGGGATTTCTGGTTCTGTGGGTCAAGGTTGGCGGTCAGGAAAGTAAATTCTTCCTTTCTTTACTTCTTTTTGGCGTCTATTATTTATATAGGGTTGGAGGATTTCATTGTTATGTCAACACATATTTACCTTGCATTCACTCCCTCCATCACACTTCATGCTTCCCGTACTCCCTAAAAAATAGCATCCTCAACAAACTTCCTTGTTCAGCTGTGCAAGTTTAGGACCATTTCTATTGGTACATGTGAGTTGTACAATGGGATTTCACTATGCTATTTCCATACACACACGCAATGTCCCCTGATCAAATCTATTACCGCCACCGTTCCCCCTCATCATTCTGCTCTCTTCTTAAAACCATTTCAACAGGTTTTGCTGTTCCTTTCATACATGCATATAGAGTACTTCAACCATATTCACCCCCTTTACTCTGTCCATTCTCATTCCCCCGTCCCACTAAGAATTTGTTATACTTCTTATCCTTCATTTTCTTTGTTGCATATTAGTTGTACAAAGGTTTCACCATGGTATTTCACACATATGTTATAACACACTTGCATCACATTAGCGCTCTCCATTGCTCTCTCTCCTGTGTCTCCCTACTCCTCTAATTCAACAAATTCCAGTGAGGTTCCTTATGCCATCTTCATAAAATTATTGGCCCTCCAAAATTCTCTCTTATATCTCCTCCTGCTCCCTAGGTCATCCCAAATACTCTGTGTGTGTGTGTGTGTATGTGTGTGTGTGTGTGTGTGTGTGTGTGTGTGTGTGTGTATCTTTTGGGACTAGATCCTGAAAATGAGAGAAAACATCCAGCCGTTGTCCTTCTGAGTTTGGCGTACTTCACATAAAACATTGAATTCCAGAGGAATGTACATTTCTAACAAGTTCCCAGGTGCTGCCACTGCTGGTGTTCTACACTTTGAGAATGACTACATCACTATATACAGAAGGTGAAACAGTGCCATCATTTAGCAAGCATAATATGAATGTTTGTTAACATGTGCATTTGAGTCACTGTTATAAAGTACATGTTGGGAGTCCCAACAATGTTTGCAAATCATTGACTCAGAGAGTGTGAACCATGGATTTGCTAAATACCTTTAGTGGCCAGTGCCATTTCCTAGATACTAAAAATATGGATGGATAAAGGGATCAACTTGTGAGCATGTGTGTATGCATGTGTAAGCATGTATGCACAAGTACACATGTGCTGGTACTGGGACTTGAACTCAGGGCCTCATACACTTGCTTGGTTTTTTTTTCATTCCAGGCTGGCACTCTACCACTTGAGTCACAGCTCCACTTCTGCCTTTTTGGTGATTAATTGGAGTTAAGAATTTAATGGATTTGTCTGCTTGGGCTGGGCTTGAACCATGGTTGTCAGATCTCAGCCTCCTGAGTAGCTAGGATCACAAGTGTAATTACAAGCCACAAGGGTATGGCTTGAAAACTTTTATTCAAGACTATATTGTGTGTGTGTGTGTGTGTGTGTGCGCGTGCGTGCACGCGCGCACATTCCCACAACAAAGCAAATGGTTTCCATATGAAATATTACACACTTATGTCAGCAAGTTTGGCAGTATCAGTGAGTGACTTCAAATCTCACTATTTAACATTTCTGAAACAAATTCGTTAATAAGATGGTGGAAGTGAAGAATGTCTTGCCTAAATAAACTTTGCCTGTTCAAGTGTCAGATAATACTGAGAGTTTGGGTTCAGAAGTCTCTCCCGGGGCTTTCTCAGAAGGCAGGGCGGCTGGGAGGGATCAATCCTGGGCAGTGTTTGGAAAGGGCTATCCACAACCAGGTGGGAAATTTCAGCAGGAAAACCAGATGCCTCCAGTTTGGCTTTCAAGTGTTGAGGTTATTGAGGGAAAGCCAGAGAGACTTGTTAAAGGGAGATTCACCTTGCTCTGAAATGTTTATTTTTATAGCAGGTTTGTTCTTTCAGCTGACTATCTCAGATGGCTCTGGAGTTGAAAAAATGGCATTTTAAACTCTATCTGAAAAAAAAAATATATATATACACACACACACACGTGTGTGTGTGTATGTGTATTCTGACCTATTTCAGAATGGGAGTCTTCTTTCAGCTTCTTTCTTCTTCAAAAGCTGTTCTGATCCCATGAGTATGCATTGCCCAGATGTTGAAACATCACACACTACAATATTGGATGAATAGCCTACAGTGAAGTAGACCAGGAACCATGCAGGCATTGCCCAATCTCAGGATTTTATTGTGCTGTTTTTTCTCAGTTTTTCAACTCAGTGTGGAGCTGTCTTAAACCATCCAACGACAGAAGCATCACTAGTTCTGTAGCATAAGACTATGTCCTCCAATTCCTTTTAGTAAACTCTTAAGATGATGGGAAAAGTGAAGTGTCTCAGGTTCTGACTTAGGAGTTATAGTGTTTAGTGGTTGCCTTGTCTTTGGCCCTTCCCAGAGGGACTAGTGCCAAGAAAAGCACCAGGCAGGACCCATCATGCCATACCCCAACTGGTCTCCAAGGAGATCTGAGGTTGCACAGAGGAAATGCTGGAGGAAAGGGACCCAGAGTGGGCCTAGCCTAAGTAGGACACAAAGAAGAGAATCCACCTGCCAGGAAAGATTCCACACGCTGGCCCTATCATTTCTTTAAACAATTATTAACAGAATATATGCAAAGAAAAGGGCTTCACTGTGGTATTCACATATATGTACTTGATCAAATTGACCCTGTTTCTATTACTCTTTAAGACTTTTTTCCTCGCTGGTATGGGGTTTGAACTCAGGGCCTCTTAGGACACACTCATAGCCCTACAATATTCTTTCTTAATGATCTTCTCCATTTTTTG